CTATTTGGATTCTAAATGGACCCAATTCATAAATCTATAACATTTTGGACCATTTGGGCCTAGAATGATTCATTCTAACCCTAATAGGCCTTATTAGGCCATAAATGAATTAATTTGCCCTAACGGGCCATAAACTCCCTTTCTTCTTTCAAATGGGTCGTGGACCATCTAATGAGCCCAATGGGCCGAAAATTAATTATTGGGCCTCATAATTTCGAACCAAGGCTAGAAATGGGCCAAGATAATCCACCTCCTTTCTCTTTAGCCCATTCTCGGCCCAATGAGTAAAAGAAAAGAAAAATAAAAGGAAATTAGAGGATTAATGAGAGTTAGCTACCTCTTTATTGCATGGTGGTCTCCATGCACATCACCTCACTCCCTCTCTCCTCTCTCTTCTTCTTCTCGGACGAACCTCACACTCACCACCTTATTTTCTTTCAAAAATCTTTCAAGAACACTCTCTCAAGAAAACCTCCTATCTTCTCCATATTTTCGAAGATCTAGGGTTGTTCAAGGAGATTTCCACCAAAAATCATCTTTCTTTGGTAAGTCCCTACATATCCAAGTTATATAACTTCATTCTTATGTTAAGAACACTTCTCCTAAACATTTTTGGTGATCACACTCTTAGAAAACCCCATAAGCTCGAGATCTATCCAAGGAAGGCATGCTAGAGCCGAAACCTCTTCCATTTCTTCTTTAAATCGAGATCAAACAAGCAAGGTGAGTTCATACCCCCTTGTTTTCGGTTTTCACTTGTTTTTGGTGGAGAATACAAGTATTTATGTGTAGATCTATGTATTTATGCATGTTATGTGTGATTTTCTTGGCTTTTGTTGTGTTTGTGTGATAAACTCGATGGATCTATAAAACTGTAACAAAAATAAGTGAGAATCACAAACAAAAACACTCTAGACACTATACTACAAAGTTAAAAGTGTTATAAATGCCTAAGTTGTGAAAAACCAAACAAAATCTTATATAAGGATCATTTTTGGCAAATAAACAAAAGTTTGGGGTCAAGAGTGACACCTACGGTTTTATAGGGGCTAAAAGGGTATTATTAGCTTAAAAATGATTTTTTATAACAACCATATTTTTGTAAGGGTCAAAAGTGTAAAATTTGGTATTTTGGGCCTTAATGTGGGCCTTACGGCCTATTGGGCCCAAATTGCAAAAATATTAATTTTTGGGGATTAAAATGTTATTTAATCAAAACTCGAGCCAAAAATGAGAATAAACGAGATTAGGGGCTGAAAATGACACTATCTCAAGATTTGGACCAAAAATGTTAATTTTATAAAAATTAGGCCGAAAATGCTATTCTATGCAAATAAGGGCTGAAAATGTAATTTTCTACAAAAATGGACAAAAAATGTCATTATATGTATTTTTGGGCCAAACCCGTCAATCACTAAACATTTGGGGCAAAAATATAGATTTTTATAAATTTATGGACTAAAATGTTATTTTTAATTTAAAATAGACCAAAATGACATTTTATGTAAAATAAGCCCTTAAATGTTCAAATTAGTTCTCAAGGGACCTAAAGTGTAATTTTTAATAAGTACGGGTTCAAGTTATAGAATTTTGATGTATCAAACTAAAAATATCATTATAACAAAACATTGGACTTTTTATAACGCTACGGATAAATAATTCGATTAAACGAAATACAACAATGGTGCGATTCTTGGGCCTAGTATTTTGCTATACGTGTTTATTGGGCATTCGTGATCCAATTACATGCTTATTGGGCCCAATGTATTCATCACATGTCTGTTGGGCCTCAGTGACCCAATTACATGCTAAATGGGCCTAATTTAGCATTTACATGTTATTGGGCCTTAGTGGCCCATTTACATGCTAATTTAGCCTGGAAATAACTTACACGTCTAATGGGCCATAGTTGCCTTTTCTTCATGTTTGTTAGGCCTTATCTTGTCATTTTTATACATTATCTAGTGTTCGAACTTCTAAATACATATAACATTATACAAATTCATGTGGAGACAAATGGAATCTAGTGAGACGTGTCGGCTGACACCACTGAGTGTATGGTCGTAGCTTGTAGTTATAATCAGAGTCTCCTGGGGGAGAGCGAGAGTTTGTGTATAGATCTATACGGGGGTGACTCTCCCACACCTGAGCTGTTCGCTACAGTTAGACTAGGCCAGTCTAGGGTGAGAAAAACCTTGATCGAAAATCCAGTTTTGGAAAAATGCCAAGACAGGCAAATCAGTCGCTATCATGTATGGTTATAACGACTCATATAGAGATCCATTCCCATTAAGACATCACAGAAAATTAATAAATCATAAGTCATAATGATACAAAACATTTCTACAGTGCAAAGACCGTGACATTTTTATAAATCAGAAAATATCAGATTTTCTGGAAAATACTATTATTCAAATACCACTTACTTACAACAGAATGAATACAAAGAAATTTGAGTTGCATTCCTATATGTTACTACTATGAAATTCACACATGCATTTATACTCGATTTTCACATCATTTTTCAGACTTTTTACAGAAAATATCGGATTTTCTGGGTTTTACAAACGATACAAAGACTTTTATTCAAACATGCTTATGAACTCACCAACATTATATATGTTGACCGTTTTCAAAATAACTTGTATTCTCAGGTAATCGATAAGCAGGAGGATTTTCAAGTGTGTATGGATTTATTTTATGTAATGCCACTCAGCGTGCTATTAATACTTTGGATTTATGTAATCTATGACAATGTACTTGATGTGAACAATACCAATTGTACTATATAATGTTTGGTGATGCATGTGTTATGTTTCATGTATATTCATTGTGATGATATTTCAATTGATAGTCACACGAGCCCTCGGACGTTTCCGCCGTCTGGTTCGGGGATGTGACAATATTGTGCCTGTATTTGAATTTTGAACCCGGAGAGTTCTTTACAGTGAACTGCATGCTCTCCAAAAGAGTCCAAACATATCTTGTGGCACACCGGACATATCTCGTCATCTGAAAAATAGGGATCATGAGTCGATATTTAAGGATAGTACGATACTCCACATGAGACATATGTTGGTCAAGCCCATCTATAGGGATAGCTAGAAGAAAATCTTGAGCATGTGGTACATGTAAACACTGGAAAACTACTTTCTACAAAGTCGTCATGTCGAAATGCACTTTTATATTTTGGACAATTTTACTAAAAACGACACTTGCCAATGTATTCTGGGATTTAGGGGGTAGTGCCCTTAGTAGTAAAATTGCTAAGGTCAATGTCCGGAAGCTTGTTACGAAGAGAAGCCAAGACACAATCATAATCAGAATTCATACTACATATGTCGTTATCCCATAAGACGTGGTCTTGCAACACCTAAGATTGGGCCCTTGAGACAACAAAAGCATATGAGGTAGCCTCTACTGCCGAGTACAAACCTAAACCACTAAACCTAATGGGTAGGAAAACAATTCGCCATTCTATATAAATGATAGAATCGAAGGTGTAGTTGAAAATTTTGTTTTTAAAAATGTAAATGTAGACCGATATGATCATGAACGGTTTAAAAAGATGGACTAAAAACATGGTTTATATGACAATTATGGAGTGCATAGGACCATTGTCTTATTCACATCCATGTGATTGTGATGATCGAATGAACATGGTAGATATAACTGGTTATGTTCAAAGTGTACCTACTATTCTGCTATTCCAATCACTTTTGTGTTTCTTAAATGATGTCTTCATTTGTGGGCAATATTTTCCATATATTTTTCAACTTTGACATAATTACAAACTTCTCTAAATCTACACTTTGCAGTTTGCACTGCACCATCTACTTTTTATATGTCTTTTTGTTTTGGAATGTAAATAAAAAAATAAATAAAGAGGGTTTGAAATTTCATATTGAAAATCAAATTACTTTTAGTCAAATGATTTATTAATGAAAAAAATAAGTTTTTTAAAAAGTGCTTGGATTATCTTTTGTGGTGAGAAAAATCAATAAGTTAATAAATTATTTTTTAAAAAGTGTTTGTCTTAGATAATACATATTTTAAGAGGTATTTGTGTTTTACAACCCAAAAAAGTTATAATTTTTTTTTGAAAAGTTAGAAATTCTAAGTTATTGAAATCTTCTTTTGAAAGGCTGATGATAAATTATATTAAAAGTTATTTTTATATTGTCAAACTTTTTTTTTTTTTTGATTTATTGACTTTTCAAAAAACCAATAATTCAATAATATGTTTTTAAATATAACCTCAAACTCCATGATAGTATTGTGTGGGTCGGATGTAATGCTAGAGTACAGAAGTTAATCGAATGAAGCAAGATACATATACTCAAATTATATATGAAATAAAATATGTTTAGGGGGATTTTACCTGGAGTGACGAATAACGGGAAAAGCCGAGGTGTGTGGGCTTGCCTGTTACCGGATCCACATTACTAGAGTCCGGTACGCTTGCGGAGATATCTCGCCCGTTCAAAAAAAAAAATAAAAAAAAAATAAAAATAAAAATAAAATATGTTTTAGATCGAGTTAAATATGAGATAATTTTTAGCGATCCGATACATAATTTAAAATAGCAAAATTTCATAGACCAAAATTATGTCATTTTTATAAAATAATAAAATTATTAAAAGAATTCTAGTTCTTTAAACTTAACTCTAAAACGACATTAGTATCAAAACCGAACTTTGCAACAAAAACAAAGTTTACTGCAACAAATGAAACATGTGGAGTGAATAACTTTTGACATTCACAAGACAAGAACTTTTTCCAATAATAACAAATTAACAAATACCATAACGAAAAAAATGAAAAGTTATAATCCAAAGATAAAAAAATATCGATAATAATATAGTACAAGGACCATTTGTGTATATCACTCCCTATATAATAACCAGTAACGAGAAACCAAAATGAACTAACACAGTTCTCTGAATAATCTCTCTGGTTCTTATCAATCACGTAAAACAATCCTCTAAAGCATCATCAGAATGAAGGCATGGCAGTATGATGAATACGGCAGTGTTGATGTACTGAAGTTGGCCACCGATTTAGCAATTCCTGAAATCAACGATGATCAGGTATTGCTTAAGGTCGTTGCTGCTGCTCTGAACCCTGTCGATTACAAAAGGAGGTGTGGAAAAGTTGCCTCCAAAATTAACAAGTGACCAAATAGTTCAGGGGGTTATTTCAGTAACTTATCATTTACTATTCATAGTTTGACTATGAATAGTAATATATATGGTAATTGAATATTGATGGACGGCATATATATTGATATGTCAAAAATGGCGGCTCCATTTAAATTGAATTCTTTGACTACGCAACAGTCGGCCAAATAATTGTTTTGCTAAACAATTGTTTATTATTGTCAATGGACGGCAAATTTGGACGGTAAGAAAGTTGTCAAACATTACGGCAATTTGGTGTTAATTGGAAGAAACTTTACGGCTACTCTCCCTATAAATATCTGTGTTGCAGCAGAACAATAGCGTAGAACACAACCAAAAATTATTCAAGTATATATAGAAAAGTATTACATATATATACTGATACACCACCGTGTATTTTAGCTCTCCCACTCTATTTTGTAATCTCTTTCATAATCCCTGTAAACACTGCAAATTATAGTGAATTGTTTCTCGGCTTCCTCCGCCCGTGGTTTTTTCCCGATTTGGGTTTCCACGTAAATTCCTATGTCTCTATTCTATTTATTTTATTCGTATTACGTTGTGATTATTACGCTTTGATAATTTTTGATCCCATTCCGCATTGAGCTAATATTATTTAAGTCAATTTGAATCCGTCGTATTTTACAACAATTGGTATCAAAGCATCCAGGTTGTGATATTAGCTCGTTGGGATCATTTTATCAAGTAATTAATCATGTCTTCGGTAAAATACGATATCCACTACTGGATCGTAACACCCGATTTCCGTTGTGGCAAGTAAAGATGAGAGACATTCTCATTCAGATGGATTTACACAAGGCGCTCTTGGGTTTCAATAAGATGCCCGATACATGGACCGAAGAAGAAAAGGAGATGAAAGATCTGAAGGCTTTATCCCAAATTCGTTTGCACTTGTCAAACGATGTTTTGCAAGATGTTCTAAAAGAAACGTCAGCGGCTTCTTTATGGCTAAAGTTGGAAAAACTGTTGATGACCAAGAGCTTACCAAACAAGTTGCATTTGAAGCAACGGTTGTTCAATCTCAAGATGATTGAAGGAGGCTCTTTAACTGAACATATATCCACATTTAAAGAGTTAGTAAATAACTTAGAGAATATGGATGTTCAGTATGAAGATGAAGACTTGGCTCTATTCTTACTATCGTCGTTGCCAGAATCCTATAGCCATTTTCGTGATACTATTATCTATAGCCGTGACACTCTAGTTTTAGATGAAGTCTATACAGCTTTGGATTCAAAAGAGAAGATGAAGCATATTACTGGTGGTGGTTCAAGTGATGCTAAAGCCGAAGGTTTGAATGCCAGAGGAAGAACAACAGAGAGAAGTAGAACTTCTCAATCTTCCAACAGAACCAGATCCAAGTCAAAAGGCAAACGAAAATTTTGCAACTATTGTCACAAGAAGGGACATGTGCTTGAAGAATGCTTCAAGTTGAAGAACAAAGAAAAAGAGAAGACGGCAGCAAATGGTAAACAAGCTAGCACTTCGGGTGAAGCCGATCTAGCTGAGGTCGAAGGTATTGGAGAACTTTTGACAGTTTATTCAGATAAACTGGATTCCATTGGTGATTGGATACTCGACTCTGGTTGTACTTTTCATATGTGTCACAACAAAAGTTGGTTTTACACATTTGAAAAGGTTAACCAGGGCTATGTGTTGATGGGTAACAATACTACATGTCCAGTTCTTGGACATGGTTCAGTCAGGATCCGTATGTTTGACGGAGTTATTCGAACCATGGGGGATGTTAGATATGTTCCAGACCTCAGAAGAAACTTGTTATCTCTCAGTTCCTTTGACAAAAAGGGATACGAGTTTGCTGGTAAAGGTGGAGTTCTCAGGGTATTCAAAGACGGTTCCGACAAACTGAGAGCCGAACGAAAAACCTCAGATCTTTACTTTCTTGATGGGCAAACAGTTTCGAGTGATGCTGCTGTTGTGTCAAAGTCTCTTTCTGATCCAGATCAGTCCCGTCTTTGGCACCTTCGACTCGGCCATATGAGTTTTCAAGGCATGTCAGAATTGAGTCGAAGAGGTTTACTTGGTCAACAAAAGATTGTTGATTTGGATTTCTGTGAAGACTGTGTATATGGCAAGGCAAAACGAGTAAGGTTTGCAAGTGGTATCCATACAACGAAAGGACCACTTGATTATGTTCACTCGGATTTGTGGGGACCGGCTCGAGTTGCTTCAAAAGGTGGAGCTATTTATATGCTCACTATTATTGATGATTTCTCCAGGAAGGTGTGGTCTTTCTTCTTAAAAAATAAAGGAGACGTTTTCTCTACCTTCAGAAATTGGAAAGTTCAGGTTGAAAAGCAATCAGGTCTGGTGGTAAAGTATCTTCGTACGGATAATGGACTTGAGTTTTGCTCAGAAGAGTTTAATGTCTATTGTCAAAAGGAAGGCATTACTCGACATCGCACAGTAGTCCATTCACCTCAACAAAATGGTGTAGCTGAAAGAATGAATCGCACCATTATGGAGAAGGTCCGGTGTATGCTTTCTAATTCCAAATTGCCAAAGTCTTTTTGGGCGGAGGCTGCTTCGACTGCTTGCTATGTTATCAACCGATCACCGTCACGAGCAATCGAGAAGAAAACTCCGTTTGAATTATGGTCCGGTAAACCTGCAAATTATTCCGATTTAAAACCATTCGGATGTCCAGCGTATGCACGAGTTGACAATGGGAAGCTAGAACCAAGAGAAATCAAATGCGTTTTTCTTGGGTACAATCAAGGTGTAAAGGGTTTCAAGTTATGGAGCTTTGATTTGAAGAAAATTATCATCTCAAGAGATGTTACTTTTGATGAGTCTGCTATATTTCAACCAGTTGCTGACTCTTCTAAAAGAACAGATGCATTAGATGTATCATCCGAAGCAAATAAAGAGAATGCTCAAATGGAGGTGGAGCTTCCTACTTCACCTACCACTAATCAGAGTACAAATCAGCATCAAGATTCTTCTTCGTCGGATGAGCATGTTGTTGGTGAAGATTCAACACCTTCACAACCACAAGCTACTACTCCAAGCATTGCAAGAGATAGACCGAGAAGACAGATTATTCCTCCGAAGAGGTATGCTGAATCTGATTTGGTTGCCTATGCTTTTATTGTTGCTGATAATATTGAGTCTGCAACGGAGCCTGCAAATTATGACGAGGCTATCAAATCTGAAGACTCAAATGATTGGATGCTCGCTATGCAAAATGAGATGGAATCCTTGCAGCGAAACAGTACTTGGAATTTAGTTCCTATTCCGAAAGGGAAGAGACCAGTTAAATGCAAGTGGATCTACAAGCTCAAGGAACCTGTCAACCCAAATGATAAACCAAGATACAAAGCTCGGTTAGTAGCTAAAGGCTACAGTCAGATTCCTGGTATTGATTACACTGACATTTATTCCCCAGTTGTCAAACATACTTCCATTCGTGTATTGTTGGGGTTGGTTGCTTCTAACGATTTTGAGTTAGAACAACTTGATGTCACTACAGCTTTCCTAAATGGTGAGCTTGAGGAAGAGATTTTTATGCAACAACCTGAAGGTTTTGTAGTTCCTGGAAAGGAGAACTACGTATGCAAGTTGAACAAATCTCTTTATGGCCTCAAGCAGTCTCCTAGACAATGGTACAAGAGGTTCGATTCTTTCATGACCAGTCACAAATTCAGCAGGTGCACCTATGATAGCTGCGTTTATTTTAAGAAAGGTGACAATGGTTCAAAGATCTACTTACTCTTGTACGTGGATGACATGTTGATTGCAGCGAAAGATATGAAGGAGATTCAGAAGTTAAAAGACCAGTTGAAAGCTGAATTTGAAATGAAGGACTTAGGAGCTGCCAAAAAGATTTTAGGTATGGAAATTATTCGTGACAGGAAGTCTAGGATCTTGCATCTTTATCAGAAAAGTTATATTGAGAAAGTCCTAAGACGCTTCAGTATGCACGAAGCAAAGTCTGTCAACACACCTTTTGCAGCTCATTTCAAGCTATCATCCGCTTTGAGTCCTACTAATGAGACTGATATGGCTTACATGGCACGTGTTCCATACTCTAGTGCTGTTGGATCTTTGATGTATGCTATGATCTGCACGCGCCCTGATTTGGCTTATGCTGTTAGCATGGTTAGTAGATACATGGCGAACCCGGGGAAAGAACACTGGAAAGCAGTACAGTGGATTTTTCGTTATTTACGCTGTACGTCTTCTATGTGTTTACGTTTTGGTAAATCTAACACTGGGGTGTTCGGATATGTTGATTCAGATTATGGCAAAGATTTGGATAAACGAAGATCAATTACAGGGTATGTGTTTACTCTAAATGGTTGTGCTGTTAGTTGGAAAGCCCAGTTACAGTCTACAGTTGCCCTGTCTTCTACCGAGACAGAGTACATGGCGATTACAGAAGCAGTTAAGGAAGATATCTGGTTGAAGGGGTTATTTGGAGAACTCGATGATAGAATAAAGGTGACCACAGTTTTCTGTGACAACCAGAGTGCTATCTTCTTGAGTAAAGATCAAATGTTTCATGACCGAACAAAGCATATTGATATTCGTTATCATTTTGTGCGGGATATCATTGAAAAAGGTGATTGTGTTGTGGACAAGATTCATAGAGATTATAATCCCGCTGATATGTTCACTAAAAGTCTTCCTATAGCCAAGTTCAAATTATGTTTGGACATGGTGGGTGTTTCTGATCGCAGTTGAGCCTGAAGGCTCATGGTGGAGGAAGTATTATTTATTTTTCGGAAACAATTTTTTTCTCTATATAAAATTTGCAGGTTCTTATGGAAGTTTTAGAGTTTGGTGAGCTATAGGTTTTGACTAATCGTAAAGCATGACTTGCTTAATTTTGATGTCAAGGTGGAGATTGTGGAAAAGTTGCCTCCAAAATTAGCAAGTGGCAAATAGTTCAGGGGTTTTTCAGTAACTTATCATTTACTATTCATAGTTTGACTATGAATAGTAATATATATGGTAATTGAATATTGATGGACGGCATATATATTGATATGTCAAAAATGGCGGCTCCATTTGAATTGAATTCTTTGACTACGCAACAGTCGGCCAAATAATTGTTTTGCTAAACAATTGTTTATTATTGTCAATGGACGGCAAATTTGGACGGTAAGAAAGTTGTCAAACATTACGGCAATTTGGTGTTAATTGGAAGAAACTTTACGGCTACTCTCCCTATAAATATCTGTGTTGCAGCAGAACAATAGCGTAGAACACAACCAAAAATTATTCAAGTATATATAGAAAAGTATTACATATATATACTGATACACCACCGTGTATTTTAGCTCTCCCACTCTATTTTGTAATCTCTTTCATAATCCCTGTAAACACTGCAAATTATAGTGAATTGTTTCTCGGCTTCCTCCGCCCGTGGTTTTTTTCCCGATTTGGGTTTCCACGTAAATTCCTGTGTCTCTATTCTATTTATTTTATTCGTATTACGTTGTGATTATTACGCTTTGCTAATTTTTGATCCCATTCCGCATTGAGCTAATATTATTTAAGTCAATTTGAATCCGTCGTATTTTACAACAGGAGGCATGGATACTCTAAGGCTACCGATTCTCCTCTTCCGGTAAGGTTTCCGGCGATAATTTTCTGTTTCAATCGTTCGTTTTTGCTTGTTTGTGAGTTTTCCTTCGATCGTGGTTGAATTTCGGGATTGAAGTTTGTTTGCTGTGTAGAAATTAACATTCTCTCTTCTTCAGTTCCAAAATTATATCTCATTAGACGAGTTAATTTTTACTGATTTGTTTTCTGCTTTGACAAATATTTATGTTGTATAATTTTGGGATTGAGTTTAGTTAGCTCTGTAGAAATTGAACGTTATATGTTGTTAATTCTACCAAAAGCTTAGTTTTGAATCATTCTAATTCAATCGATTTCTCGTTTTTGCATGTTGATTGGAGTTTTAGATCTGTTTTGGTTGAATTTAGGGATTTTGAGGTTTGTTTATAGCGCAGAAATTGAAGGTTTAACGTGACAATCGTATGAAGCTTCTACTCTGTCTTCTGCATTCCAACTTGGTCTATCAGTTAATTTTGAATCGATTTTTGATTTTGGTAAACAGATTATTCCAGGATACGACGTCGCAGGGGTAGTTGTGAAGGTTGGAAGCGAGGTAAAATGACTGAAAGAAGGAGATGAAGTATATGGAGATGTAAACGAAAAAGCTCTGGATAAACCTAAACAGTTTGGAACTTTAGCTGAATACGTTGCTGTTGAAGAGAGATTGTTGGCTTTGAAACCTAAAAACTTGGATTTTGTAGAAGCTGCTGCTCTTCCTCTTGCAATTGAGACTGCATATGAAGGTCTAGAAAGAGCCAATTTCAAAGAAGGTCAATCGATCCTTCTTCTCAATGGTGCTGGTGGTGTTGGATCCTTCGTAATTCAGGTATGTCTCATAAAATTACACATTTTTTCATCAATATTAATCCTAACTTCTGTAACAAATCTCATTAAATGTCGTCTGAATAAATAACATTTAAGAATATTTGAAAAATAGATTGAAAAATAAAAAAAAAGTTAGGATTAATATGGTTGGATGAAAAAATGTGTAATTTTATGAGACAATCTTTTTTTCAAATATTCTTAAATGTTATTTATTCAGACGACACTTAGGCCCTGTTTGATTTGGATCTGACTGGGTCAGGTCAGACATTTTTGTCTGACTCGGTCAGCTCCATGTGTTTGATATGGCTCAGCTTTGCATCTGACCGGGTCAAAAATGTTTGACTCGTTCGTACCAAAAAATCTTGCTGACTGAATCTGATTGAAATCCATTCCACCATTGCCCCTCAACTAGCACCACCCTCGTCCTCCTTCCCCACACATCAATTTAATCCATGGAAAGGAAAAAAAAACACAAAAAGAGGCACAAAAAAAAGATAAACAGAGCTGCATCGCAACTCATGGAGATCAGGGAAAGAAGACAACTTAAAATCAGAATTAGGCAACTTTGGTCCTTGAAGATACCCATCTTGCCCTAATCTACCACAACTTTAAATTGTCTTGCATAACTAATTTCTGGAAATTACTAGTTGGACCCTGAACTTTTATAATCAATTATTATTATTATTATTATTATTATTATTATTATTATTATTAGAACATTAGGGTAAAATGGTCATTTTGCATCAGCCAGCACATTCAGTCAGATATACAATCAAACAACATGGTTTCTTACTCAGTTAAAATTTATTACTCAGACAGACCTTTCCCAGTAAGCACTTTCTCAGTCAGCAACTATCAAACGGGGCCTTAGTGAGATTTGTTACAGCTGGCAAAACACGTGTTTAGGGCTTCAAAAGTAGCTGCCACATCTGGTACAACAAAACTCGAATTACTTGAAAGTTTAGGCGCTGATATAGCCATCGATTACACCAAAGAAAACTTCGAAGATCTACCAGATAAATACGATGTTGTCTATGATGCAATAGGTATTCATCACGTTTCATAAACTACACGAATGGTCCCTATGGTTTGTGATAATTTGCACGTTTGGTCCCTTACTTATTTTTTTAACTCGGAAGGTCTTTGCTGTTTGTTTTTGTTACACGTTTGGTCCCTGTCTTACCTAAAAAGACTATTTTGCCATTGATTTTTTAATTTATTTAAATAAACACACCCCTAACCCCACTTCCACATCACCTTACCTTACCTTACATACCCCATTTTATTTAAATAAATTAAAAAATCAAGGGCAAAATAGTCTTTTTAGGTAAGACAGGGACCAAGCGTGCAACAAAAACAAATTGTAGGGACCTTCCGAGTTAAAAAAATAAGTTAGGGACCAAATGTGAAAATTACCACATACCATAGAGACCATTAATGTAATTTACTCTATAGTTTATCCTCTGTATGACATCTAGCATCTGTATATCTTATTTACATCTCACAAGATGTTCCAAGTACAAATGCAGTGTGCGCCCGAGGTTACCAGAAAAAGTGTGCATTCAGCTCGTATTGACGTCTGACATTTGTATATTTTATTTACATCTCACATGATGTTCTAAGGACAGATGCAATGTGTGTGGGCCCTGGGTTACTGGAGAAATAATTTGTTTTTTTGCAGATAAAATTCATGAATGTACGTTTATTTTTCTCGTATGGTGATGGTATGATATTGTAGGACAAGTGGAGAAAGCTGTGAAGGCGGTTAAGGAAGGTGGTAGTGTAGTGTCCATAGTGTCCATAACCGGTTCTATTTATGAATGGCAACGGGGCGGGTTCGGGGCGGGTCAGCATATCCCATCCCCGAACCCGATAGTTAAATTTGGCCCTGACCCCGACCCGATACCCGACAGGTTTCTTATCGGGGCGCCCCGTCGGGGGCAGAAAATTTCCCCGATCCCGAACCCGAACCCAAAACCCGATATAGACTCGAAAACCCGAACCCGAAACCCGAAAAATGGAAAAAAAACTACAATATGACAATAAGAAATTAAAACCTTACAAAGGCTTAAAATACCAAATAAGTTCTTAACATAATTGAACCAAATATGAAAAACTAAATTCATCGCAATAGTACATTACATTTAAACATTAAAACAAAATGAAAATCAAGCAACCTCTTTTACATCCCACCTTGTTGATCCACAGAATCAAACTTAAAATCAAACAACCTCTTCTACATCCCATCTTGTTGATCCACAAAATCAGTATTTACTTGATTATAACATGAACCTCTTGACTACTTTCCGTTGGAGCATGAATTTGACTGTTTGAATTCATATCCCCTTAAAAATAACAACCAATGTAATATCAGAAATCAGATACAATAGTTTGTTAAGTTCAAATCAGCTCAAATTCGAAATCAGATTCTTCACAAAATGAGAACTCAGAATCATCAGAAAACAGAATTCAATTCAGCATAACATAAATCAAATACAACAGTTTTGAAAGGTGTGAATCAAATACAACCATATCTTTAACGAGAGTAAAGTGCATTGATATTTCCACAAACTTTCCTATTTATGTCAATATAAGTCAACAAACACTGCAGATGATCAAGTATCATTATCTAGTTCAAGTATTTCAACTTATCAAATGTTACTTTTTAAACAAAACACACTTGCCACTTTTACAAATAAATACTATAGCAAGTGTAATCAAACAAATATTATGGAAAATAATTACTTGTAAACACATATAAAAAAAAATGTTACATATACATCAAATAAATTTCGAACATATATTTCACATAAAAACATTATTTGAAGGCATGAAAGTATAATTTTATATATGTGATGAAGGGATCTGCATAAAAGTCAACTAAATCAATCTAAAAAGGGATTCTCCAAACGTAAGCAACATTTTCCTGATCTTTTTCATCTTTATCCAGATCCGAATATGTTTTTAATAACTCGGGAGATAAAGATCAATGATGAATTGTTGAAGAAGAACCAACAACATTTGGTGGATTCGATCTCTAGAGTAGGTGGCTGATCGAGGAGATGCTGACAATGACAGTAGAAGGTGGAGATGGTTGTGGATAAGGTTTGGAGAGAAGGAGGGAAAGGAAGAAAGTATAGCTGTGATGTTTGGCAAAAGTAAGAAGCAAAACCTTTTCAATCCATACCACCAACACTATTGTTTGAAGTGACCTTAAGAACAGTAGATAACATTTTGTCAAATGTTAAGTTTATAATACCCTTAACAGCTTCACAGGTGTGTCATCTGATGCCCAAAACTGGGACAAATCGAAGCTATGCTATGCCTATAACAGGAAAGAAAATAGACGAGTTGAATCAAATTCATCAAAACTGGGCAACATCAACTAGATCAGAACTCAAATTGAATCAAATTAATCAGAAATCATAACTCAAATCAGCTGAAATTCGACTAGATACGAGCATGAGAACAGATTCAGAACAGTTGTGCTACATCGAATCAGCAAAAAGAAAACGTAATCTTACCTGGATGGTTGTCGACTAGATTAGAACTAGAATCAACGGGTCGTTGTCGCTGGTGGTGAACAGATGAAAACGAACGAGGTAGATGGCTAGCATCGATCAGAACTCGATTCAGATTGCAGGTCGATGGCTCGCTGCTTGCTATTTCTGGTTCCTACGGTCCTGCCTGCCACGAACAAGGCAGATGAGACTTCCGAGGGGTCGACAACTCCACTTCTTTTCCGATCGAGAGAAGAGAATACAGATGAAAATTTGATTATGTCAATTTTTGTTGTCGGTTGGAAATTGGAATGGAAGAGAAAAGGATGCGTGATTTTAGGGTTAGAGGTTTGAAGGGCTGAAATATATATATATATATATATATATATATATATATATATATATATATATATATATATATATATATATTATATATATATATATATATTATATATATATATATATATATATATATATATATATATATATATTCGGGGCGGGGCGGGTCGGGGCAGGCATCCCCACTCCTTGACCCGAACACGAAAAAAAACCCGATAATGACCCGAAACCCGACCCGAAACCCGATAAGCTCGCCCCGACCCGCCCCGAAATCTTCGGGAATCGGGTTTTCCCGTCGGGTTCGGGTTTTTTTGCCATCCCTAGTTCTATTCCACCACCAGGATTTAGCTTTGTGCTCACGTCTAATGGATCCATTTTAACAAAACTAAGCCCTTACTTGGAAAGTGGAAAAGTGAAACCTGTTCTTGACCCTAAAACACCGTTTTCGTTTAAAAATGTTAAGGAGGCTTACACTTATCTTGAGAGCCATCGTGCCATGGGAAAGATAGTTATATACCCGATGCCATGAGTCTAATTGGTATATATTTTTGTGTTATATAATATCAATAAATAGTGTGTGTTACTTGGTGCTTGTGTTAATAGTGGAAATAAATAGCGTGGTTGTAATGAGTGAATGATTAATAGTAATTTATCATTGAAGGCGTTAAGGACTATCAAAAGGGTGAAATGAGACAAACAAATTGAGTAATGTAAAAAATACGTAGTACTCAAGTTTTTGTTGGTTTTATGTTTGGACTTGATTATGTTGAATTAATAGTGAAATGAAAGACATTTGGTCGACACAAAGTAGAGTTTAATCTTGGTTTAAGAACTGCCAAATAGGAGTGTTGAGGATTGTTAAATTGACGTGTTGATTTTAGGATTTTTGTGGATGTCGAATTGGTTGAGTCATGCATATTGAATTGAAGTTAAAGTGACTAATGGGATTGATTCAACTGATGTAACTATATTTTTTGACAAAGTAAAAACTTATACTAAGAAATAATAAGCTCGTTACATGAAATCAAATAACTTTGAGAAAACTGGGGAAATGATTTTATTAGTATTTTCTTTAGATCGAGTCCAAAATGTCTTGTTTTTGCAAGAAAAAAAAAGCTTTCTTTTGATATATATATATATATATAGATATATATATATATATATATATATATATATATAGATATATATATATATATATATATATATAATATATATATTATTTTTGGATTTAGTTGTACATTTAAAATCCGTATATTTCTTTTTGTTATTCTATGCATGTTCCTTTTATATAAGGGCATTTTCGAATTTTTTTTTTCTTTCCTAATATTTTAATAATTAATTTTCTTTTATAGTTGAAAATCATCAGTTTCTTCATCATTAATAACGTCTTTCGTCTTCTTCATCCAAACTCTCCTCTATTAAAGTGATGGTGTTTTGGTTTTGTAATGTAAATGTTGCATTTGAACATATTGGGCCTACAACTCAAGTTTTTGCTTCAATCTCATCTACCATATCAACTCGTAACACTACCTCAAAATAATAGTTTTGTAAAGTCTCTTGAATACTTTGTCAAAACTCTTTCAATTAACCAACAAAAAGTCCAACAAGAGAAGAAAGCAAATCTTAAAAGCATGGTGAAACAAATTATGCAATTGGATAGTAAGACTTGAGTCGAAAGGTAAGTTACTTTCTTAAACCAACACAAAATAAAACAATGAAAAGGGTTGAGAAAGATAAGCAAGCGGTCAAACCATCGTTATAACTAAAAGAGTTTCATGCAAAAGTCATACATCCACCATTTCCACCACGATATCAGAAGTCCAATAAAGAGAAAGAAGAGCAAGAAATCATGGAAACTTGTCAAGAGTTTGAGGCAAATATTTCACTTTTAGATGTTGGTAAGTAATTTTTCCTTCATGCAAAATTCTTGAAAGAGATTTATACAACAAAAAAAGAAGTGAATGAGAGAGTGAGTGAGTGTTAATGAAAATATTTCAACAGTTTTACAAAAAAAAAAAAAAATACCCCCAAAATGCAAGGTATGTTTTCACCATCCCTTGCAAGTTTCGAAACATTTTGCTTGAGCATGCCATGTTAGATTTAAGAGAACCAATTAAAATTTACTATATTTAATGCACAAATCTTTGAATGTTGTCTATCTGAAAAATGTATTTAAAGATGTTTTCGTACAAATACTTGAACCTATAACCCCAAGTTGTATTACCACACCCGTTTGTTTCAATAGCCCTAACATTCAAAGATTTGTGCATTAAATATAGTAAATTTAATTGATTCTCTTACATATTGACATGGAATAGAATAATTCACCCAAGTCCAGTTTCATCATGTTAGGAACACCTTTTAAAATTGTCAAAACCATGATTGAAGTTGACAAGGCACACTTAACATTGGAGTTACATGGTGAAATCATTAAATGAAAGTAGTTAGGAATGTAATTTTGGAACACTTTGAAAACAATTATATATATATATATATATATATATATATATATATATATATATATATATATATATATATATATATATATATATATTGCAAAAAATATACCAAAACATCAAATCTTTTAAAAATGAAAATAATTTATCAGAAGTGTATATGAGAACATTATAATCAACATAAGAAAACAGATAAAGTGTAATTGTTATTCCAAACAATACAATAAGTATTCTTCTAAAAGTCCTCAAGATCTTCGATCTCCAAAACTACAAAGTCGGCTAGTAACTTGAGTTTTTGTCAAATAATAACTTAGGTTCGAGGAGCCTAGTGAGTCATATCGATGTTGGACACTATATCAAAAGTACATAAATGAACATGGTTTATATACAAGTGTTGCAACCTCAAACTTCTTTTGAGGACTTCTATAGAACTTTTGTAAACTCATCAATACTTCTTAATGTTGGATTAGGTGTAAGCCAATAACTATAATTGTTATGTACTTGAATTGATAGTAGCACAGTCCTTTTGGGTTGCCTTCATACTAGCAACTTGACATGATGACTTTTGGAGAGAGAGGTTGAATTTATTATTTGGAATAATAAATTAGTATATAAAATGATTTATTAATATGTTATGAAAAATAATATATTAATTAGAAGTCATGTTGTTTAATTAATATTTAATTAGAAATTAATTTGGAATTAATTTGAGGATTAAAGGAATTTAATTAAAAGTTCAGTGGCTGTTTTACAATTAATTAATAATTGTGGTTTGGGCTCTTGGATCACCCTAAAAGAGGGTTGGCCGAAAATTCTAGGGAGGCCCTAAGGATTTTCGTCCAAGGCCTTAAGATGGGAAGTTCACGGGATGCTTAGGCCTTAAGTTGGAAATTAAGGTTTCCACCATCAAACCTTAGCTTTGGGACTAAGCAACCTTAACTATAAAAGGAGTCTCACACTCTACGTTTCGGTCATCCCTTGTGAAACCCTAGAAGAGCCGAAACTTTAAGCAACCTCCCTCCTCTCTCCTCCCGTCCTCTTGCATAGTGTGTTTGTGAGCCATTAGAGGTGTTACACTTGTGACACTTGCTCTCAAGTCCAAGATCTTCAAGGATTTCATTGTTATTACAATATAACAAGGAAGGTATGTATCTAAACCCTAGTTTTATGTTGATTTCGTAAATTGTACATGCCTCCTAGGGTTTCTAGTTTTTGTGTTCGACGCTTGTATGTCTAATAGTGAAAACATAGATCCAACAATTAGGGTTGAATGCACACATATGATTATTTGTTATGCTCAAAACCCATCAGTGGTATCGGAGCTATTGGTTTTGTTTTCAATTAGATTTGATGCAATTGATTGAATTTAACAAAATTAGGGTTTATGGCAATTAAACCCTAGGCCTTGGATTTTTCGCAAATTAGGGTTTCATAACCCTGTTTTTCAAAAATTGCTAAGGGTTTTTAAACCCTTTCCTTTGGCCTCCTAATTTTCGAGATCTTGGGTTTCCTAACCCTAGGGTTTTCGAAAATAAGGCAATGATTGAAAGCCTTGCCTTCCACCCCAAGTCATGGATTTTGAAATTAGGGTTTTTGGGTGGGTTGTTAGTTTTGGTAATTATCTTGTTAATTGTTTAATTAGATAATTAAAGATTTTGGTATATCCCTCCCAAAATTTTGAAATCTAGGGGGTAAGGGATTAGGTTAAATTAATTTATTTAGTTTAATGGATAATTCTTAATTGATTTAATAAATTAATTAAATGTTTAATTAATAGATAATTATTAAATCAAAGTTTTTAAAATTTAAAATTTAAATTAAAAATTGTTTTTTAATTTTCGAAATTTTAATAGATTTAAAAACCCTAGTATTTTAAAATATTTAAAATACACCCTTATACTATATGTAATATTAAAAGTTTAAATATTTACTATATGTATAAGACAAGTCAGTCAAACCGCAAGTACACCTCATTCACGAAACTGATCTATAAGGGGAGTTTAAGGAAGTAGCCTATAAAATGATCGTCATTGGGTATCCATTTTTACCCACCGCTCCCTTGATTGGTGAAGGGTGATAGGACACTTAATTCTC